CAAGTAGCTGGGACCACAGGCACCCGCCACAATGCCCGGCTATTTTTTGGTTGCAGCCGTCATTGTTGTTTTGGTGGGCCTGGGCTGGATTCAAACCTGCCACCTTAGGTGTATGTGGCTGGCGCCTTAGCCACTTGAGCCACAGGTGCCGAACCAAGCCCATCTCTTCTACCAGGCCACGGGCAGGTGACACATTTGTATTCTTAGTGCTGTAACAATAAAGGCCATCACATGGCTCGAGTGGCATATGTTAGGTGCTTGGTGCTTTTTTTTATTTGGAGGAAGGAGATAGGATCTCATTCTGTTGCCCAGACTGGAGGGCAATGGCATCATCACAGCTCACTGCAACTTCAAACTCCTAGGCTCAAGTTATCCTTCTGTCTCAACCTTCCGAGGACCTGTGACTGCAGGTGTGCATCACCACACTCAGCTTAATTAATCTATTTTGGTTTGTAGAGTCGGGGTTCTCACTCTTATTCTGGCTGGTTTCTCTCTCCCTTGGCCTCAAGCAGTCTTCCCACCTCAGTCTCCCAGAGTACTAGGATGACAGGTGTGGGCTGCCACCACAACTGGCCTTCAATACAGTTTTTTGAATGAAGGAAGGAACAAATGGTCACTGCTGATAGTTCCCTAGTGGCTAAAAAAGTATGAGTTAAATCACTTTCATCCTGAGGCCCCTTCTCCCCCTAGTCACATGCCACACCACTGACCTACTGGCTGGTAAACACTGGCAAAACAACTGCTATCCCTGGGCAGACAATAGAGAGAAGACACAGGGTTCACCAGCTGCCCCATCTCCCAAGAACAGGAATGAGGATACCAGTGTGCCCATTTCCCATGCTGGGTAAACTGGGGCCAGGGTTGGGTCCACGTACTGAAGTCAGACCCAGGCCTCTGTGACCAGAGAGGCTGGGCCTGTCCCTGGTGCCAGCCAGTAGACTAGGACTCCAGAACCAGGGCTAGAGCCTGTGCCCCAGCTCAAACCAGAAAGGCTGGCTCAGGGCTGCTCACATCTCAGCCCCACGCAGCACCTGGCCCAAAGAGACTGAACTGTAGCCTTGTGAGCCATGTCACTTGCCCTGAGTCACCAGCTCCCTCTACTTGCATACCCAAGGCCCTCAATAGGCCCATGCTCCCTTTCCCTCTTCAAGACATACTCGTTCAGGACAATAATTTCCAGCTCAAGGTCTCCCTTGTCTTTTACAACTTGGTTGTAGCGGCTCCTCCACGACTCCAGAGTGGATAAAGCTTCAGCGACATAAAGATCCTGGGAACACAGGACAATAGGGCCTGTCAACCTAATGTCAGCACCAAGGATGCAGGAGCTGGGGGCTGGGCTCATCCTAAATAGTCTTACCCTGATCAACTTAAACATTTCTCTGCACTTTAGCTTCCCACTGAGCACCAGGAGGAACAGTGGGAGCCCAGCCATTGCTGCTAGAGCCACTGTCAGCAAGCTCTATCTTTGCCACCATTCTCGCCCACAATACAGATGTGGCTAAACTGTCCTACAAACCCTCCATCATTTCCAGCCAGCTACTCATCCACCCCCTCCCACTCACCTGAACCTGAACTCCTCCTCTCTCCACCTAGCCATCCATCCTGCCAGGCCATTCGCCCTTCCCATAGCCACCATCCTCCACTCACCTACCCATCCTGCCCCCCACCTGCCCTCATCCCTGGGCCGGCTACCTTGTCAGCAAGTTGCACATGCAGCTGCTCAGCGTACTCCTCGCTCTTCTCGGCTCGCTCCTTCTGGGCTCGGATGGCCTTCTTCAAGTTTTCCTTGTCTCGATCTCCCTTTTGCTTCAACTCCTTTAGCTGCTCCATGATGGCCTCCACTTCTGCCTTGTGCTGGTTCCCACTGCGCTCCAGATTCTGGGAGGGAGGCAGGAGCGAGGAAAAGAGGAATGAGGAGGGAGAGACAGAAGGTAAAGGGGACAGAGGGAGGAAAAGGGCACAAGAAGGGAGGAAAAGGGCACAAGAACAAAGAAGGAAAGCAGGAGACAGAAAACAGGTCATTAATTGTGTGAGAGCTCAGGGCTCCCCTAACTCAGACTAGAGACATGTCCCTCCCCGCTCTGCAGGGTGCCTCGCTGGATCTCTTAGCCCTGGATCTTTTTTTTTTTTTCCCTTTTTTTGAGACAGAGCCCCAAGCCGTTTGCCTGGGTAGGGTGCTATGGCTTCACTGCTCACAGCAACCTCCAACTCCTGGGCTCAAGCGAGTCTCCTGCCTCCTCCTCCCAAGTAGCTGGGACCACAGGCGCCCGCCACAACAGCCGGCTATTTTTTGGTTGCAGCCATCATTGTTGTCCGGCGGGTCTGGGCTGGATTTGAACCCGCCACCTTAGGTGTAATGTGGCTGGCGCCCTAGCTGCCTGAGCCACAGGTGCCGAGCCTTAACCCTGAATCTTGATGTGAGTACAGAACTCCTCTGGAATCTTCCCTGAATACCCAGCCTTGTGGTCAGAGATATTTCCTTAGTCCCTTTAACAAAGCTGTGACCTCACAGATGCAAAGAACACATAAGATGACCCCCTTCCCTTGGGCAGTTAGGTGAACTGAGGGCACCCAACCCCATCTCTGTTGGCACCACTATGGTTTCTGTCCACTGCTATTGCTACTGTCCGTGTCACTATGAAACTAGAGTATTTTGGCAGCAGCTGCCCCATAAATCTTTGGGACATACAATCTGAGTATGTTACCCTGTGCCCAACCACCAACTTAGGAATGTCATGCCCTCGCCTCCTCCTTCCCCACTTGTGGGGACAGCAGGTACCTTAATCTGCATGCAAAGTCGACTGTTCTCAGCCTCTTTGCATCGAAGCTGTGCCTGCAAATGTCCACGCATGGACTCCATGGACTTGGAAAGCTCAGATGCTGTCTTTGCTTGAGCCTTTGGACAGAGAGAGAAAGTGACAGCATCAGGATTTGACCCCAGTTCTCTGCATACCCACTATGTTTTGCCAGCTCACTAAAAGGCACAGCTCTGGGGACAATACCTTCTCACATTGTATTTCCTGGAGGAGCTCTTCTACTTCCTTGTCCTTGTCTTGCAGCAGCAACAGCAGGCGCTGGGAGAGAACATACACTGTCATGCGCCCCCTGGGAAGGGCAAAGAGACCCAGCCCAGGGAGGAGAGACATTTGTGGGTGTCTGGTCCCTGGGGCCCCTGGCCCTGTGTGCATTGGCCCATGTCAGACAGACCCCGGTGAAAAGTACATAACATGTGTATTAAAATTGTTTTTAAAAACAATGAAGTTGGCTCGGTGCCTGTGGCTCAAGCGGCTAAGGCGCCAGCCACATACACCTAAGGTGGCGGGTTCGAATCCCCAGCCCGGGCTGCCAAACAACAATGATGGCTGCAACCAAAAAAATGACCAGGCATTATGGCGGGCGCCTGTAGTCCCAGCTACTTGGGAGGCTGAGGCAGAAAACTCGCTTGAGCCCAGGAGTTGGAGGTTGCTGTGAGCTGTGATGCCATGGCACTCTACCCAGGGGGATAGCTTGAGCCCAGCCCCCAGCTCCTGCATCCTTGGTGCTGACATTAGGTTGACAGGCCCTATTGTCCTGTGTTCCCAGGATCTCAAAAAAAAAAAAACAATGAAGTTGTATTTATCTTGCAATTGTTTTTTGCAGTTTTTGGCCAGGGCTGGGTTTGAAACCGCCACCTATGGCATATGGGGCCAGCACCCTACTCCTTTGAGCCACAGATGCTGCCCTGACAGAGTCTTACTATGTTGCCCTCGGTAGAGTACTGTAGCGTCACTGCTCACAGCAACCTCAAACTCTTGGCTTTAAGCCATTCTCTTGCCTCAACCACCCAAGTAGCTGGGACTACAGGTGCCTGCTACAATGCCCAGCTATTTTTTTGAGATGGGGTGCCACTCTTGCTCAGGCTGGTCTCAAACCTGTGAGCTCAGACAATCTACCCACTCAGCCTCCCAATTAGAAGGGATTACAGGTGTGAGCCACTGCACTCAGCCTTATCTTGCAATTAAAAATCTAAAAGCATGGGCAGCCACTGTGGCTCAAAGGAGTAGGGTCCCGGCCCCATATACCAGAGGTGGTGGGTTCAAACCCAGCCCCGGCCAAAAACTGCAAAAAAATAAAGTAAAATAAAATAAAAATAAAAGCAGTGTTAATTGCAGAAAACACTAAAAACCATGCACAAAAACTGTAAAAAGTTCCACAACCCCACACCCTAAACAGAGATAACCATGGATAATTCACATTAAAAGTCATATGCAGGCTCGGTGCCTGTAGCTCAGCAGCTAGGGTGCCGGCCACATACACCAGGGCTGGTGGGTTCAAACTTGGCCCGGGTCTGCCAAAAAACAATGACAACTACAACAAAAAAATAGCTGGATGTTGTGGTGGGCATCTGTAGTCCTACCTACTTGGGAGGCTAAGGCAAGAGAATCCCTTAAGCCCAAGAGTTTAAGGTTGCTGTGAGCTATGATGCCATGGCACTCTACTGAGGGTAACATAGTGAGACTCTGTCTCAAAAAAAAAAGTCATATGCATGTTTTATTCCAGCACCTACAATCTCATGTTTACCACACTGTGATTAAATTTTGAACATCTTTTAAAATAGCTGCTTAAGGTTTCAATTTACTTATGTATTATAATTTAACAAGGTCATTTTTGCCAAATCTCTGCTTCTTCTTCAGGTGGGTACTTTCCCCAGTGATGTTCAGGCAGGCACCACTTTAGGAAACTGGGTCTCCATCTTCTTTCCCTCTCTTAGAAGGGAATTAATATATAAAAGGCTTCACCCAGCAACTTGGGAGACTGAGCCAAGAGGATCTATTGAGCCCAAGAGTTTGAGGTTGCTATGAGCTACAATGATACAACAGCACTCTACCCCAGGGCAACAGACTCTGTCTCAAAAAAAAAACAAAAACAAAAAAACACACAGGGCGGCACCTGTGGCTCAAAGGAGTAGGGCGCCAGCTCCATATGCCAGAGGTGGTGGGTTCAAACCTAGCCCTAGCCGAAAAAAAAACAAAAAAAAACCATATGGCTCGGGCACCTGTAGCTCAAGAGGCTAAGGCACCAGCCACATACAACAGAGCTGGCGGGTTTGAATCCAGCCCGGGCCTGACAAACAACAATGACCACTATAACCAAAAAAATAGCCGGGCATTGTGGCAGCCGCCTGTAGTCCCAGCTACTTGGGAGGCTGAGGCAAGAAAATCGCTTAAGCCCAGGAGTTGGAGGTTGCTGTGAGCTGTGATGCCATAGCATTCTACCCAGGTAGACAGCTTGAGGCTCTGTCTCAAACAAAACAAAACAAAACAAAACACAATAACAACAAAAAACATAAAAGGCTCCAGAAACATTGTTCGCTAAATGCCTACCTTTCCAGGACAAAAAGCCATTGGGTTTGGTTTCTTTCCAATGATAATTTTATTATGCTAATAAGACCTTCTTTTGTATAATACACTGCATCTATGTTTTCAAATTTTCAAATAAGTATTTCAGACTGCCCCTCACCCCAAAAAAAAGAGTTCCAAAATGTCCTGAAGTTAAACTTTTTGTTCAGGGTGGCCAATAGTTTCCCAAATTTATTTGGCTGTAGGACAGTGCTCCCTCCTCTTTTTGTTCTTATACCCCTTAACATCTTGAGGAAGTTAGGGTTCCATTAATAGACTTTGGAACATTTTGCTTTGGGAGACTCCTAGAAGGATTTTCTTTTTTTTTTTTCCCAGTTTTTTTTGGCCAGGGCTGGGTTTGAACCCACCACCTTCGGCACATGGAGCTGGCACCCTAATCCTTTGAGCCACAGGCGCCGCCCCAGAAGTAGAATTGTTAACCCAAAAGGTATGTGCTTTTTGATGGCTTTGAATCCATAATACAAACAAGGAAATGCAGATTTAATAAGAACTGATCATTATAAACCCACATTACCATTTCTCATGATGATGTCCAGCTTTGTGGCTGGAGTTATCAAGTGATCAACTAGATAAGCAAGACAGGGACATCATCCATTTTATAGATTATGAAATTAAGATTCAGAGTAATGCTCTAGCCCTCCTGCCCCCACTGCCAGTACCCCCAAACACACAAGGATGCTGTGGTTACCGCTTTCTCTGTGTCTGCCTCTGCTAGCCGTTTCAGTAAAGCTCCTTGTTGCTCCATTAGTCTGTCTGAATCCTTTGAGAAAAGTAAAGGGAAAGAGAAGTCATTAATAGCAATAAACCCGGTTATGTTTCTGACAAAGGTTTAATAACCAGAATCCACAGAGAACTCAAACGTATTAGCAAGAAAAGAACAAGTGATCCCACCTTAGGGTGGGCAAGGGACTTGAAGAGAAACTTCTCTGAAGAAGGCAGGTGCGCGGCCTACAGACACATGAAAAAATACTCATCATCCTTAATCATCAGAGAAATGCAAATCAAAACTACTTTGAGATAAAATCTAACTCCAGTAAGATTAGCCCACAT